AAATCATGAGTGACGCAAAGGAGAATAGGAAATGATTGTTTCTGGTCTTTCCATAGAAGAGGTGAGGACATCAGATGATAGTAATGGGAGAGAAGTAATGAAGCGATGGTGATTTTTTTAAAGAACGCATGGTTGATCTATGGACCTTCTTGCCACAGAATGTTACAGGTGCTAGAAGTTTATACACATTCAGGGGACAATGCCCAAGCTCATGGAAGAAAAATCCATTGTGTGTTACTAAAACCAGTGAAACCATATCTGGCTTAGGAAATCCCTGAGCTCCAAATGATGAAGCTGGGTACGTGATTACTTGGGGGAAATGTCACATATAATTATGTCATTCCTATACTCTTCCCCAGCCATCTGCTTGCGGTCACTGTTGGATTCAGGGTAGCTGTGTGCTGTGTTCCACTGCACGCTACGGTTGTGGCCTGGTACCCCAGCACAATGTCCCTTTAGAAGCGAGAGAAAGCTATTTGGGTTGTCCTCCTGAATGGACCTCACAGATTGTAATAAGGAGTTTCTCTCTGTGTCTCTCATCTGAAAGGCACCATGGAAAAATAAGCTTTGAAGGTGTCCGAGTGAGTTTTCCCCAGACTTTCATAGCTACACTCTGGCAATCAAGAAAATAGTATTCCCCTGTTTTCTAGAATTACATATAGATGCACATGGTCTTTGAGAATTTTCCACCGGAGAATGGACAAGGCCTGGAAAAATCAAAGGCAGGGAAGACCTCAACAGAGTACTCATTTGGTATCAGCCCTTACGGTCTGAACTTTTGCCTCCCTTGCCTACACCTTCCTCCAGTTCTGCTTGATGTCTGTAGCCCAGCCCTTCCATAAGTGGGAGGAGATGGCTTTTGCAGTGTGTTGGTTCTCTGCAGTCCAGAATTGGAGTAACACTCTGAGACGTGACATTTCTTCATGCCAAACTATTCTTCTTGGTGCCAACCCAGATGAGCTCTGTCTTGAAAGCCTAAGCAGCTGGGAGGTATTATAAAAGAGAGTACTAATGACATCACTTCCAATCAAGATGAAAGTTATTTAGGCTGTCCTTGGTCATTCAAATTATATCTCATTGAGTATCAGACAAACCTGCCTGCTGTGGTCATATTGCTGTGTTGTGGGATCTCAGCAAACTGGTTAGTACACTAGAGTAGTATGGGTAGTATTTACCTAGGTGTGGCCCAATGTAAAGCTCCATCTATACCTTTCTCAATGTTATCCAAGCCCCATGGCTTGTTAGGGGATGCATTTGCTATACGTAATTTTGATTTAGTTTGATCTTTCTTGTTTACCACGGAAGAGTGAGAAATACCACTGTCATGCTTAACCTTTCTATTTCTTTTTAAGCCTTGTGTTTCTTATGATTCACATAGAGTCATCTCTTCGTACTCTGGTAAAGGGTAGTGGCATTCATGTAGAGGAAGTTAGGCTGAATTTTGGCAGCTGAAATCTGCTACCAAAGTAGTAGCTTCTGCTTCTGCCTTTACTTGACACAAGTAAAACCCAACTACTTGGAGACTGACCCTGTGCACTGCGGAGGGCCATTTCCCAGCGTTAATGGTTCTCTGTGCCCCTCGTCCCTTGGCAATTACTGACCTTCTCATTTTTCCCAGACGCAGTCTCTGATGTTAAGAAGACAGTGGTTTGTTTTAAATTTGAGATTTACTGAATTTCAGAGAACGTGAACTGCTGGAGTTTACTTTTCATGTATTGCTCTCTGTATGCTGGATAGATTCTGTAATGCTAAAGTAACGGAGAGTTAAGTCTTTCTTTGGTGTATTTTGAAACCCCTTGTTTCAGAGTGCTGAAGGCAATGACTAAGGTGCCTATTACTTAAAGCCGTGTTGTACTGGAGAAATATATGACTCTGATCCCCTATACATGAATCTATTTGTAAAGTCTTATTCCAGCTTCATGAATAAAGTCCTTTCTTCACCCTAGCTTCATGGTGAAAATACGGTAAAAGACATTTATCTGATATTGTGGAAAGTGAGTATGACATGGGGCAGAATAGAAATCAGAATTTCTGGATATTCTGTCTACCTGTGTGAACTGGAGAGAAATTATAGCCTGCTGGTGTCTGTGCTGTCCTATCTGTAAAACAGGGATACGGATATATTCTTATCTTATGGGAGAGCTGTGTGTCCCAAGTTAATTACAAAGTCTGTGACAAATCTTAGAAATTCAATTGCGAGATAGTGTGTAAGCATATAATATTAATGTTTTATAATCTCCCTAAACTGTCTGTGTGGATACCTTTAGTGAGAGGGATATAGTGATATCAAAAGAAATCTTTTTTCACCCCAACCATTTTCTTTAGAACCCAAAGTGAAAGCTGTTTCCACCAACTGCCATCTCTGCAACCATCTGGAAAAATCACATTTTCTGAAGCTTTCCTTCTCTTTATCAGCTGTAACTAAAGCTATAAAATGGGAAGATGTCCCTGGTTTAATTAACACCCCTGTAGTTCAAAAGCTGATCTTAGTAATGAGAGGCAATTATAGCCTTTATTGAGGGACAGTCAGGTGGAACAAACCCAGCATCAATCTATTGAAGACACTTCCCTTTCCAGGTAGTTTGGAAACTGCTTTTTATGATGAACAGGCTACCTGGCCCGATACAATAGGTGAATCTCTTTGTTTTGTAACCTGAAAAGAACTTCCTATTTTGATTTACGTGCTTCTTCGTAAACTGTTTTTTGCATCCCATCCATCTGCCAACAACCAGCAACTGAGCTAAGGAAACACTTGTTGCTTTTTGGAGGGCATTCTTGCTGGTTTTCTCATTTTATTTTCCCGTCCACTGTTGCTTTTCGTTTTGAAGGTTGCCTGGTGTTCATATTTTTGTTCTAGTAAAACTGCAGACTCTGTGGTGCGCCCACATCCTGAGGGCTATGCAGAGTTCTGGTCTCTGCACCTCAAAAATGATGTGGTAGAGCTAGAGAAGTTCCAGAGAAGGACGTTGAAATGGTCAAGGGAATGTGATTTCTGCTATATGAACTAAAAAGGCTGTGGCTCCAGTTCAGACAGGAGACAACTGAGGCCACAGGTAAAGCTGAGTTTAGCTGAAGTCATGCAGGTGATGGATCAGGTAGATATAGAACTTTAATACTAGAGCTAATGGGCTTTAGCTAAAACAAGAAAATCTGCTTGAAATTATGAAGTACTTTTTTACACAGCAGATAGCGAACTTCTGGAATCTGTTGCCACAGAAGGTTGGGGCAGTGGGCGGTGTCAACAGGTTAAAAAAAAATTTAGACAAATTCAGAGCAGCAGGTCCATAACCTGAGTCTAGAGGTGATGGGCAGGGCTGAGGCAGTATGATGGGAATGGTCTGCAGAGAATGACCATGCTCTTCTGGTCTGCCTGAGTAGTATCTCGGGTGCTGTCTGGCTTCCAGCTTCTGATCTGTAAGAGTGTGGGTCTGCTGTATGCCCTGTGTTTCATCTGCCAGCCCTCTATGGATATCCTGATATCTCAGGGGTCTCAAATGATGCTAGATGCCTCTTTCTGGAAAGCTGATTTAAAGCCTCAGTGTCTACTGAGGCACCAGGCAGGCACCAACACTGGAGCTAGTCACTGAAGGTGGAGCTCTACTCATGATTAAGATGCCTGTATTTGGCTGTTTGCAGGTTGTCTACCTGTGCAGTACGTGTCTAAATTCTGCAGTCAACAGACATCTAGTCAGTCTAATGGGGACCTAATGAATACAGTCAATGAAACAGTCAGGACTGTCATTTCATCTCACCATAAGGTAGACTTGGGATGGTCAGTTAAATAACTCACTACTGGCTGTTTTCATTAAATCTTTGCTGACTATAATGGGAGCTTGGACACCTAGCACACATATAAGATACCAAAAATTAGGTATATTAATCTTCAACTGAGTTCTGTCCCGAGTTTTCTATTATAATGACTGTAGAGAAATAGGTGTCTCCTGAGCATAACTTATTGACCTGTTTTAGACACCTAGGTGTTGATGAGATAAACTGCACTTGGGAAGTGCATATTTCTATTCATTGACTTTAAGGGGAGTCTAGATAGTGGTACCCAGGTGGTCAATGCACACCATGGCCAGGTGAGTCCCAGCCATCCCATTTTGGAGACTTTGGTACTGTCACTTAGAATCTGAGCTGTAAGAAATGTAGATTTTTAAAGCAGTGTGATATGAAAAAGTGGAATTATAATTTCAGAACGGACCCTCCACACTGATGATTTGATTTAGAATAAAGGTTTAGCCATGATTTTACTGTCTGTGAACTATGCTGTGAAACATGCTACATCCTCTGTCCTGGATTAGTTTAATATCCTGACAAAATTGCCTTTGCCAGGCTAGCTGCAAAAGCTGTAAAACTATAAAACAAGCTGGAAGTTATTCTTCAATAATTAAAGATAGAGCAGGAATTAAACCCCTAAAGTCCTATGGTGTTCCAGCAGTGAGTGGCTTTCATACAGTGTCTAGGAGAAAGGTTGATTCAGTTATGGAAGAGTTTGGAAAGGAATTTCTGTGGTCGGTGGGTCTGTGGATGTTGTTAACTCCACGATGCCGGCAGACACAGAATTTGGATGCCATCAGGGTACTTTGGTTTTGGGACAGGACAACATCAACTCCTTTCAAAAATACTGTGGGCAAGTACACCTATTTCCAAAGTTTCCACTATTGCGTGTGATACAGGATGGATGTGAAATTTCTTTAGCAAATGAATGCAATATAATCTTGTTTAGGAGACCGCACAGTTATTTGAAGCAGGATGGATTGCCCATTCTTTCATCTTTCCCACTCCTGTGTGTACAACTTTGTTGTTCTATGTCTTATTTGCTTTGGATACAGGACATAGGCGAGGAGTTGGGAAGATTGTGTGACTGCAGTGTTCCTGTAGCTTTGGATCTGTCTGCGGCATCAGAGCCTCTGCGATTCACGTGGCTTGTGTGAAAGGGGGAGCTGTGGTCACCACCTGCCTTGCTGACTGTCCTGTCTTTTCATTCCCCCTCCCAGGTTACGGACATGCTGCCCCAGGGACAGACGCGGGGAAGGCCTTTTGCATGTTCTATGCGGTCCTGGGGATCCCACTGACACTCGTCATGTTCCAGAGCTTGGGCGAGCGCATGAACACCTTTGTCAAGTACCTCTTGAAACGCATCAAAAAGTGCTGTGGGATGAGGAGCACCGAGGTCTCCATGGAAAACATGGTCACTGTGGGTTTCTTCTCCTGCATGGGAACACTCTGCATTGGAGCAGCAGCCTTTTCCCAGTACGAGGAATGGAGCTTTTTCCATGCTTACTATTACTGCTTTATAACATTGACTACGATAGGGTTTGGAGACTATGTGGCCCTGCAGACCAAAGGGGCCCTTCAAAAGAAGCCTCTCTATGTGGCTTTTAGCTTTATGTACATTCTAGTGGGGTTGACAGTCATTGGGGCATTTCTAAATCTGGTTGTTCTCAGGTTCTTAACCATGAACAGCGAGGACGAGAGGAGGGATGCCGAGGAACGGGCGTCCCTGGCAGGGAACCGCAACAGCATGATTATCCACATCCAAGAGGACTCCCAGCATGGTCGGCCACGGTACAAGGCCGAAGTAACAGACCTTCAGTCAGTTTGTTCCTGCATGTGTTACAGGTCCCACGAGTACACCAGCCGGGTGGTGTCCCACCAAAATTCGTTCAGCTCGAAGCTGAACCCCCAGTACTTTCACTCCATCTCTTACAAGATAGAGGAGATCTCACCAAGCACATTAAAAAACAGCCTTTTCCCATCTCCTGTCAGCTCCATCTCACCTGGGTTGCACAGCTTTACAGATAACCACAGGCTGATGAAAAGGCGAAAGTCCATTTAAAGGGATTTGTCTTCTTTTGCTTTCCTTGTTTTCCCCAGTTCTTCTCCGTTGTTTTGGTTTTTTTGTTCCTTGAGTGAGACGGAGCGAGGCCAAAGGGAGTAGAGAAAGCCAGTCCTCCTCTGAGACTCAGCTCTTGAGCATGAAGCATGGATTATTACTGTTCCAGCAAAGTATGCCTTACATTACCCCCTCGGTGGATGTCAGAGGATTCAAGGTGACGTGAAGTGGGTACCAAATCCAAAGTTGCACACACAGCTGGGAGCCTTCATGTGCCGCTGGCACTCCTGACCTAATAAACTATTTTCCTCACGAGCAGGTTGCAGCGTGCGTGCGTGCTTGCGTGCGTGTTGGGTGTGCGTGCGGGTGCGTGTGTGCGCGTGCAATTCCACAACTAGTGCCATGTGACAAAAATTAAAGCATCAGGTATTATTTTTTTTTTCCCTTGAAGCAATTGTGTTCCAGCCTGCTTTTAACTTTTAGATTGCTTCCAAAAAGAATGGGGAGGGTGGGAGGGGAGCCAATTTGTTTTGTTTTTTGCCAAGACAAGCATGCGCCATAAGCAGTCAATATACCAGGTGTATCATGATAAATTTTTTAATGCTAGATTTTAGATTGTATTAACATTAAAAAAAGGCAGGAAAAGATGGATCATTTTAGCTTGCCAGTTCAAAATTAAAAAAAATAAAATAAAATAAAGCATGCACTTTGTAAAACTGGTATGCATAATAAAAACACAAGAAAAACTAGCAATGGAATTAATAATCAAAAGCAAATAATCGTATTGATTTAACTATATTTACTTTTATCATTTTCAACTGTTCCAACAATTTGCAAGTGGAATTTTTAAGAGAAATTGGGAGAAATGTTGGAACTAAAGAGTGTATTTTGTTATTTTAATTTTATTTATAAAATTATTATTATTATTATTATTATTATTATTATTATTTTGTGCAGCAATTACCTGCATGAATAGGAGTTATATTTTTTGGAATGCTTGGATTAGGATGGGTATAAATAGGTGGATGTATATTTTTTCTTATATAATAGTGACAGGGCATTCCTTGTTTTAAATAAAAAAATAAAGATGATTGTCTCTAAATGCTTTTGATTTGTAAATAATGGAAAGCCTTTGTTGGTCTCAGGAAGAATTCAAGGGACAGTATCTTGTGTTTGGCTCACTGGGAACTTGTGAGATTAGATGTGATATTGCTTTTTTGCGAGGCGGAAAGGCAAAATGCATTCAGCAGTAATGGGCAAAAGCAGTTTTACTCCAGTGTTTGGAGGGTAACATTGGGAGTGGTTGCATGGGCAAGTTGTAGCGGAGGATGTTGAGACCATGTCGTAGAGTTGTTCCTTGGAGATTGTCCGTCTCTCAGTTGCTCATCTGGACCAAACAGACTTTACAGAACCAAATTAGAGGCCTAATCCAGCTCCCTTTTAAGACAATAGGAATTTGCAATGATTACATGGGATTTAGTGCTTTGGGAGATTTATCTTTGATTTGACAGGGGTAGGACTGGGAGTTTTATAAACCTGCACCTTTGTCTCTGATTTAATCCTATCTTTTAAATCACCTTCCGTGTTAAGTCGCCATACAAAACCCATCTTTTTTTGGCACTAATCACCTCCTACTGCTTCAACCATTTTGTGCTCTCAGTGTAGAAGCAATAATCCTTTTGGTTTTTTTTGTTCTTAAAGTAGATGGTGTGTTTTTGTACAAGCCCCAGCTCTGAGCTCTGTGTGCTGATGGATGTTGATATCCTTTCAAAGAGGCATCTATAATTAATTAGGGAGAAATAAGGAATGTCATTCCTCCTCTGTTCTCTTCTCCCTGGCTTTAAATTATTAGCTATATCAAATATGTTCATGTTTTCCTAATTTACTTATCTGTGTTTCAACAAGTAAATGAAAAGCAAGTATCCATGACTTTGACTCCCCTATGCAGCTTCCTTTGGGATTATGAATTGTTGTGGCATGAAAACCTCCATTAAGATGAGTGAAGAAATAATTTAGGATTCTTAACGAGGATGGATGAGGATGGACTTTTTCTGGCTAACGTGTGGGGATAACATCCTTCAGCACAGTAGGAGAGCATGCTGGCTGCATTAATGCTGTGCTGCTGGTACCATGTCCTAAGGCAAATGCTGATGGCAGGAGTATTGAAACAAGCATACCTAGAAAAGCAGTTTCAGGATGTGTTAAACCACCTCAGCGATTGCCAGCTAGCAGCTGGTTTCCGTGAGGGTGGCCCATAGGGTTCACAGTGCTGTCCAAATTCACTTTCGTAGCCTTTGCATGTGGCATCCCAGAATTGCAAATAAATGTAGGTTTCTTTTTCTGCCTAGGAGATAAGAAAAAGAATGCCTGGAATATACACATATGTATCGTGTACGACTGCTGGATGTATTTGACACTGGAGAAAAGCAGGAAAGGTTTGGGATGTTGCAGAACTCGAGTGAAATTCTCTCTGCCTAGCAAAGGAGTACTTCTGTAACAGGACTTTTAGCAAAAAATTTAAACAGTTTTGTGAAAAAAAGCTTACATCATATAAAATATTGGTTAGCTTTTTCCTCTTTTTTTCCTTTAAGAAAAGAGGAAAATTCTATTTCTGCTGCATATAGAAATAATATTTATATGTCCTATAAATCATGTTGAATTCCAGAAGTTCAAAGTTGTTACATCCTCTAGCTGATTTGTTACTAAATCTTCCCTCTGCAACCATAAATGAAGAGTAAATTTTAATACATGGGGTATTTAACCAGGGGAGCAACTTACCTTGACAAGTCATGGGTTATCAGCCACTTCGAGTCTTTGCATTAAAACTCGATGGCTTTATAAAAGCTCTGCTTTAGCTTAGTCGAAGTTTATGGACGTGGTTGAAGAAATCTATGTATGTTGATATGAAGAAGCCAGAGTAGATGTCCATAGTGATACTTTTAAGTCTAAAAGCTGTAATGACTGTGTATGTGGGAAAGTGTTTTGCTAAAATGTATCTGCATTCCTTAGGATTTTAAAATATGTTTATTTATTTTTATTTTCTGCCTGAAGAACCCACAATTGTGTCCAACCTATATTTTTGTTACACACGAGATTTTAAAGTGGCAAGACATTTCCTTTGCAAGACCACACACATTCAGACGTTGCATGAGCTCTTGCAAGACTTTGCTTTGTGAGCAGCCACAAATGCAAGAACTCTCATGTGTACACATCAGTACACCAGGCAAAATATGCCTCTCTCGCGCGTTTTTTGTGGTTCTTGATTGATGTGTGAATAATGACTTGGGCTGTCTGGAACTGGAACAGACAGTATTGTGAAAGGGAAGCTTTTGTCCAAGGTTAATCCCAGCTTTTCAGTTACATATGAAAAATCAGTCAGTGAAAAGTGAGCTGATTTTTGTCTGCCCTATCTCTGACTTCTTATTGCCCTACATGAATACCAGTTTGCTTCCCACAACACTGATTTTCACAGAATATTTTCTCTGGTACATTATTTGTTTTATTCCACTTAAGACATTATTTCTTTCAGAAAAATCTCTCTTGCTCGCCACTCGCTCTTTTGAAATTCAGCTAGAAGCAGGTGGTAGTGGTGCTGCTTATGACAAGACATCCTAATATCCAAAATACCTGACCTGTGTTTCTGTAGCACACACACATCTGCTATCACTTTGTGATGCACTCTCATTCCCCAGAGTCTCATTTCCCCTACCCTTCCCTATTATTAAGCATCAGAAATAATAATAATAAATCAGATTAGTCTATTTATGTCGCACTAATGTGCTCTTCATCAAAACAACACAAATTTAGTTCCCTGCTGTCGACTTTGATTATATAACAACCCTATTATCCTAGCATATTTCATATTATCATCAAAGGGAAAAATCAGTTTGATCAGTGAAGCACCAAAATAGCTTTGACTGAGCACGCTGTGATATGGAAACGAAAGAAGAAACTTAATAGAACAATGCAGGCACAAGTCTCCGCTTGGTCTTCATTACTGCGCAAGGAAGATCCTGACTGATCTAACTGGGGCTACCTTGCCAGAACTTTGCACATATATATGCTTTACAGGGATGACTGTAATGGGAGAGCTCTAGAAGGGGTGTTTGGATGTTACTTCAAGGGTCCAAAATAGCTTCTTGGTTCTTAATGAATGGAGAAGATGTAGTGACCTTCATCAATAGACTTCTGTTTGGACTCTGTAACAGCTCATTAGGACAAAATCAGCAACATTAAAAAAAAAAAAAAAGAGGAGAGGGAAGTGACCAAGTTAATCTACTGTATTGTAGGTTGTCTCATTAGTTTCCTAATGCTTCAATCAAAGAAATGCCAGGGCAGTAATCAAGATTATTGTGATTCAAACCTAAGCAAGGTAATTTCTTGTTTTCCCTGACAGATTTGAAAGCTTTTGTTATGGGAAAAGGGATCATTTGTTGCTAAAAGCTTAAGAAAAAGCAGTCAGTGGAACCAAGATGGAGAATGAAAATGTTCCAGAATGATTTGGTGTGTGCAGACCAGAGGGCAGGGGCTTGGGTGGAAGTAGCTTTCAGTTGAAGTTTATGTCCTCATTTAGCTTTATGTAATATTCCTGTTAATATCAGGATCTCATTAAGACAGTCATTTAAAATCTTTATGAGGAAGCCAGACCAGAGAGATGTGTTGGAGTGTGTCCATTACACTAATGTTATGGACTTTTTAATGCATATTTCAACAAGACACTTATTGACTGGAATATTGCACAAATGACAATGAGAGTCACACCACCACTACTTTCATCAACTAGAGGTGCATAGCACTCACAGAACTGAAAAAGAAATACTGCCTTTCTGACCAGTCTGCCTGTCATCTAACTTTAATATCAAACTTTATTTTGGGAACTTCAGTAAGATAAAGCATATGAAAAGGATTAGCTATCATAATGATACACCCAAATCACAACAAATAGAATAATGAATTGGATGCAGAGAAATTGATTACAGATGGAAGATGCTCTGGGACTCTTA